GAGTACACGTGCTTCAGGTATTTCGGAACATGAAATTTTTATGAGTAAAAAGAAAGAATTATAATTCTAAATGCTTAAACATAAATAAACTTTGTTATATTATAGAGTTCCGAGAAAAATAATCATGACAAACTGGTAAACAGATGTTGTAATACAGAGTCAGTATAGATTAATACGTTATGATTGATTTTCCAAGAAACAACTGGAAATGTCAAATTTAATAAATAATCCAATCGTATTGTAGCTGTAGGCCATTCAGTTCACCTACGTAATGGCAAAGCGGTGCGGTTTTCACTGAAAATCATAACTATCGCCTACACTCACTACTTGATAAGTATTTGTCTTTTATCAAGAAGATTTTTTCTTTTATAGGTGAAATCAGAATGGTGAATCCGCCTGCGCTATCGGTATACATTGACGGGGCTCTAGTAAGAGATGATACATGAAAACGAAAGCAGAGGGCGTACTATGAAATGTTTTTCCAAATTTCGGGCTCGAACGAAACAAAACACAAATTTTATGTAAAAATTACAGCACGCTGTTTAAAAATATTAAAAATGTTAAAATATCGTCCTTTTGGACTTTTATGGTAGGATTCATGATGAACGAAATGTTAAGTTCCATTTACAGGATCGTTTTCAGTATGAACGAAAATACGAAATTGAGTACGAAAATTTGGAATTTTATTCCATGGTAGACCCTCAGTTCAGTTGACCCATTGTAACGAACTGCTTAACAGTTAAACACGATGGACCAGGGGGAACCTTGTGGAGGTGGACTTGATAAGGCATATTGGACCTAATGGGGCTATTAGACCATATTACTAACAATCCCTATCAAAAAGGAAAACCATGTCGGCCAGACGGCTCGGTATTTTATTCTATTACAGATTCTTACATGAAACCCTATTTTGTATGGTAATGTTTTACATATTTCGATATTGTATCTATATATTTTAAAACGCTTCGTTTTATAACATTAAATACTATTACATAAACATCTGTGGTCCCGGCATAGAATGGATCACCTCTTTCTCTCCCGTGAATATTGCAAGAGGCGACTAAGGAAACTAAATGTTCGAGGGATGGGTCGGGATCGAGCAGCCTCTCTGCATGATAGATTGTTGGCGATAAATATGCTCTTTGAAAGATAATTTAAAAAAAGTTATTAATTTAAAATTAAATAGCAATATACATATATATATATATATATAAATCCTCATGTGTATTTCTACATATATACATACATATTATACACATAGTTGCTACAGTAAGAACTCAGTTTTTTACCCGCTGTTCTCAAATGAAATTGCATTCCGAACTGGCTAGTATTATATTTGTGGTTCGTGAATAAACTCAAATATGGACGATAAAAAGATAAACAATGTTTAATTAAAATAATGCAGAGCCAGGGAACGTATAGAAAATGTAGTGTATACTAGCTACTTATGAATTGAGAAAGTAGCAACTTATAGTGTATCTTTCGTCCTCCTTTTACTAATTATATTTGCATAAGAAGAAAGGAGGCAACCATATGATTTACAATTTTTATTTTATCATTCCTTCTATGTAATTCCTTGTTCTTAGAATTACATTGCTTAATTTCGAATTCGTTTAAAATATTTTAGCCATGTCGCTCATAGCTGTATTATTCTTGTTCTGTAATGATTCTATTTTCAAATGTACTCACACTGCTTCAGCACGGAGTTAAACTGCTTTTCATGATACGTTTTTGAATTTATACATAATTTTAACGCAGTAAAGGGGTCTGAGTTTAAACGAACGAATTACAGTTCGTTTTATATTGATCAGCTGCCGTAATAAAAGCTTCTAATTTTTTTTGTTTTGCAATCTGACAGATAAATCGGTCAGAATATAAAACAAAAATTGGTTGTGAAAAAATGTGGTCGTAGTTAAAAAGAAATTTTATAAGAATAAATGCAGTAATATAGATTATATACTATTTTGTAAAACTCATGCTCATTTTATAGGACGTGCAAATTTTAAAAGAATATATAACGCAGGGGACAAGCATGATGGCAAGTGACTACCACTGCCAATGATCACTCACAACACCAGAAGCATTGCAAGTGTGCTGCCGACCTTTTAAAAAGGAATATGCTCTTTTATTGAAGGTTATGACGTCGTATCAATTTCCAGATACTGCTGCTGGTAGTTGGTCCCAAAGAGTGGATATACGTGAAAGAAAGTGCCTTGAAAAACGCACGGTGGAAGACCGCCACTCTTCCAGACGGTTGGGATGAAACTTTAGTTTGTGGCGAGTCGTACGGTGGTGGAAATCAGCAGCAGGTATCAATCCGAACAATTCTTCAAAGCACTCTCCATGTTAATGTGTTTGTCGTTAATGATGTAGTCACTGAATCAATTGTCAAAAACGACAAACATAGTATTTATTTATTTATTTATTTTTAAAAGGTACGTCAACAGTGTAAATACAGACATTCATTTTAATTGATATACCTACAGGGCTTGCATCTTGCATTTACACCGATTATAGATGTACACAACATTTTCTTAAGTCATCGATTACATATTAACAAAAACTGACACCAACAAAACAATAAAAAATGTAGTATGTTCATAAAATTTCCGTTATATATATATAAAAACAATATAGGTTATAGTAATAATAATATTAAATATCTATCTAAAGCAGATTAAGGATAAACAAGCTGAAGTGGCAATGGGCTGGTCACATAGCTCGAAGAACCGACAACCGATGGGGTAGAAAGATTCATGAGTGGCGACCACGTACGGGTAAACGCAGTGTAGGACGACTCCCCACTAGATGGAGTGACGATCTGAAATGCATTGCAGTGAGTCAGTGGATGCAGGTAGCTCAGGACCGTTCTTTATGGCAGTCTATGAGGGAGGCTTATGTCCAGCAGTGGACGGATAATGGCTGAAATGATGATGATGATGATCTAAAGCAAAATACTAGGTATATAATAAAAAAGTACATATTTGTATATAATTTAAAAATATTTTCAAAGAGGCTCTTCTGAAAAATGACTTAAGTCGAGTATGAATAAAAATTAGTCTATAGAAGAAATGGTTAGTAAAAAAGCAACTCAAAAGAGAACAAAATAACGCCTAGTTCAGTAAAATAGTTAATATAGTTTTTAAGCAGCATACAAAAGATAAAAGAGGAATAAAATCAACTCTGTCTACAATTCTCATTCGATTCAATTCGGTTCTCGATTCATCTAAATTTTTTGCTACTATTTTACGCCGATTATGTCATGAATTCCAAAAAGAATTTCACAGTTCTTTTTGCAAGAATTTATTTTCGTATTAAGCCCGTATATTAATGCTTGTGTCGATTGAAATAGCTGTATTTCTTTGCGGAATAAAAAACTGCATGTTACGCAGCAAAATCTATTTAGTACTTGTAATTACGCAACTTTACGTTCTAATTTTAAACATTAATAATATTGTGTATTTATGAAACATTTCGTTTATCTATGTATTTTTATCTCATTGAAGACATTTTTTTTTTACATAGCAAAATGTAAAGAGAGAGATAGATAAAATATGTTTTATATGCATTACACATTTTATATTTAAATAATAATAACAGTATGCTATATATATATATATATATATATATACGTACAACTAGTATAAGTTCAATGAGGAGCATCAATGCAATGTACTTATTAATCTTTTTATATTACTATTGTAGCAAACAAGCATACGGCCAGTCTGATGTAAAACGGGGATACCGTAGCTTCTGTATGCCTATAACACCAGAGACAACACGTGCGCGTTCCTGACCAAATAATAAGAAATCTTAATACGCCCTTACTGAAGAGTCCCATGCTGTAGTCTCTAGGGAAAGCCTCAGAAGGAAGATCATTTCACAAACTGAGAGCTCGCTGGAGGAAGCTTCTTTGAAACCGCACTGTACGTGACCATTCTGGTTCTATAGTGTGACGATAGATTCTCTACCGATGGCGAGTGGTGCGATGGTGAAAGATGGCTATAGGCACCATACCTAATAGTTCCTCAGAACACAATCAATTATTTGTTAATCTTATTAAATATTTTGTAGAAAATAATACATCGTGTCTCTTTATCTTAGATTGTATAAATAGAGCATCGAGTCTCAAAAATAGGTCAACTTTTTGTCAGCTAATTGTCAAATAAGCTGACTCTTTTTTTTACCAGTGTTAAACTTACTTACTTACGCATACGTGTACATTGTATCTTGATATATTATTTAATAAATAAAATAAGTTTTCGCGCATTGAAAAGATGCAGAAATTATAAGACAAAATATTTTTTTTATACAACTTAGAATGGCAAACAAGCTGACGGCCCACCTGATGGAAAGTGGTAACCGTCGCCTATAGACATGAACAGTACCATGGACATAACATAGTATACTGTTTCGCCCATGATACCCCCCATGCGTTGCCATTCCTGAGGACTCAGGTGTTATTCCTCTGTACCCTGTAAATTCACGCCATATCCCACCCTTCAAACCGAAACACAGCCATGCAAACACAACTCCTTCACGGTTGAAACACGAATAGGACAGAGGTACCCAAGCAATCGACTTTTGTACAAAGTCTCCCTCTGGTAAATAAATATAGACATTATAAAGGAATCACTCATAACTATTTATCACGCAAAATCGTATTAAAAATTTTACACGTTTTTCTCGAAGAATTTGTATGGAGACACTCTATGTATAGAATCTAAGCTTTTTATCTATACAATAGAAGGCTACATTCGAGTCAATACAGCAAAATGTCTTTGATAGTTAGCTGACGTTATTCAGTGCAAAACAAGAACTGGGTTGTTTTATGTCACCATCCGCAGCTGCAGTCTTAATCATATTAGTTCAATGAAACAAATGGTGACTATTGTTTGCGACTTTTACTTTTTCGTTTCTCAATTCCACGATATATAGCACCTGTACTGAATGGTCTTACAAATGCGAACTTAATACAGAGTGACATTGTCTTTTGCAACATGTTCAAATTCAGTTCTTTGATGCTCATTTTGGGGATTGTTTCGACGCAGAAAATTGGAGGTTAGTTTGTCCTATTTTACAGTAATTTTTACTTATGTTATAAATGAGATGTGTTTTTTTTTGTTTTTTTTTCATGCAACTTAGTCAAACAAACTGACGGTTAACCTGATGGAAAGTGATAACCGTCGGCTAAAGATATGAACTGTATCATGCACATAACAGAATAATACTGTATCGTCAATGATACCCTTCATGCTTTGCCATTCCTGAGGACTAATGTATTATACCTTTGTATTGTGATTTTATTGCCATATCCTACCTTTCAAACTGAAACACAACCATGCAAATATAACTACTTTACGGCAGAAACACGAATGGGATAGTGTTAACCAAGCAGACGACTTTTGTATAAAGTCGCTTTTTATATAGATTTTTTTGTTTTCCTCTAGGAACCTTAACGACTTACAAACTAATGGTATGGTATGAAATTTAATATAAAAGTACTCTATAGGAAGGACCCCGAAGGCTACATTTTATCACGGTCAGTCTCAGGAACTTCTGAACTAAGCATTAAATTAATAATAAATTATTATTTTAATTATAAAAGCATTAAATCAAATACATGTAATAAGAAAATATTCTAATTGACGGAATCGATAAATCAAAATAAACGGAGATAGTTATTTTGATTAACAACTAAATTACTAAACTGATTTCGATAACAATTCTATAGGACCAATTTGTGAGTATAACCGTTCAGATAATAAAAACTCAAAAATTAATTTATAACTGATGGAGTTATGAGGTAACAAATATAAAAAAAATATGACCACATTATTTTTGAAGTCGCTTGATAAACAGTACAGCACTTGTTAAAATTAATATTTTTCTTATAGAACGACAAACATCACATTTCCATCACGCCATAGGACACCTCAAGGAAATACCCAAAAGGTTTGAAGTTAAAAGTGATAATGCTGCAGAGATATTTAAGAAATATATTAACGATATAGAAGAGTTAGCTACTCAAGATAATTTAACAATTATTTACAAAGTCAAGGTTGATGTACAGAAACCTAATAAAAAGAGGAACATCATGAATAGAATAATAAAAAAGAACAAGTCCAAGAAATACAACATTCCATTGAAGAAGCAGAGTATGAAATTATCCAATTTTGAAGTTTTACTAAGAAAACTAGCAGAAGAGAATGATTTAAATTCACGAAAATCTGAAGATAATACGCCAACAACAAACAAAATTCCAATTTCAAGTATGAGACAAATTCATTTGAAATTCAAACCGATTATTAGTGGTGTTAGAGCTAACTACACAAAAATCGTGAAACCAGTGAAGGATAGATTTATTACATTGACAGTGTAAAGCTTAAATAAACATAAAAGATCATTTATATTTTTTTACGAATAAATTTAGTTTTTTCTTTTATTTCATAAAATAAAATAATTCTAATGAAATCTAATACATTTAATTGTAATAGAAAAAAAGATGTACAATTTGTAGATGCCAGTACATCATCAAGATCAACAGGATTAATTATAAATTTATAATCAACTAAAACTATCAAATAAATCATAGAGTGTAAACGTTGAGAACATTTGAAAACATTTATGTTATGCATATTCAGTAAGTAACATTCGAGTCACGGGCAGCAATAAAAACTTTGCGGACTATCAGTTTTGTTTCTCTCACCACAAGGCAGGAAGCTGCGCTTATGAAACATATTTCAGCCAAATTGTCCGACAGGGATGTACGAATTTTGAATATGACTTATAAATATTTATTTAGCTATGTCCACAGTGCGGTTCATGTCTAAAAGTGACGGTTACCACATTCTATCAGGTAGACCATGATATGTCTAACATTCTAAGTATCTTAAAAAATCTGACAATAACAAATTTGTTTAGTAAATTTTGTAATAATGAAAATTGCAAATTTTAATCAAGGATTGGTGTTTCTTTAAATTGCAATCAATTGCAAGTACATGGATATGATTCGACTCGATTCCTGTAATTAATAAAGGATCTGAGTAATGAATAAAGGATTTGCAATAATTAAATAAACCGTCTATTATTAAAAGACTATAAAAATATAACATGGCGCTGCGTGAAGACAAAGAAAAATAATTTGTTTAGTGCTGTGAATCCGTACGTCTTGTACGGATTGTTGTTTATAAAGCAACAAGTAAGTAACCAAAATAATTCAGTATGGAGGAATGTGTCATGGGCTAAAACCACCAGAACCTCTTACAAGACTTGAAGCTGAAGATTTTATAATATGGAAGAAAAATTCGAAATTTATAGAAAAGCGTCAGGTATTATTAAAAAGCCCAAAACATCATCAGGGGAATGATCTTGCTGAAAGATATATCCAAACAGTAAAAAATATTGTTAAGGAGTTAATTTATGATAAAAAAAATATTTATGACTTTAGGACAGTCATAAGTCAGATGAGTGTAATGACAAATTTAACAATACACTACCTTATAATTTAATGGCTTGTTTGTTGCGTCTTACCAGATTAACCTTTGACTATAAGGAACTATATGGGATATAGAAGGGCATAGACTACTTTTTTATAACGATTAATGAACTTGTACCGGTCTGCAGACTAAATCGCTGATGCAAGCTGTAAAATATAAAAAAAATACATCTTAAGTTTTAAAAATAAAGTCCTACCTTCCTAAATCCATGTCACAGTAGCCTGTTTCTATTCCACTCACACTCTGATTCACATTCCGTGGTGTCGTGCGAAAGGAAATGCTACATAAAGCCCCCGGGTCCACAGGACCACTGCACAAAATTAAATATCGCCCTTTTTAGATGGCGTTACAACCTAAACGCCTTTTTGTACACGTTTGCTGGCTAATACCTTATTACAAAGCTTTCAAGAGGGCGGACATGTAGTGGGCTTTGGTATTAAGTGATTTCACATAAGATGTGAAATCGCTGCGTTGATTTTTTTAAGCGATAAAAATGGTTATCAATTTGTCTGTATTTGTGTGAGTGTATATGTATGCGTGCGTGCGTACATGTAAGTGTGCATACATGAGTATGTTATGCGATGTCTTCAGAAATTCTGAACCGATTTGTTTTTTTTTTTTTTTTGCAGTCAGTGTAGTTTACTCCCATATTGATTTATGACAATTATAACTGATTATTGCTAAGTAAAACTCTGCATTTGAAATTAAACATATTTCAAATCTTATTTGTTTACGTAATATTTTAAAACATACTCGTGGTAATACAATAAACGGGATATTATAAACGGAAAAGTTTTTAAAGATGGATGGATAGATAAGATGGAAGAATGGATGAATGTTTGTCATTCTATCACGCGAAAACTACCAAAGTGATTTGAATGAAATTTCGTGCACTGATGAGTTACATCCTAAATACGAGTACATTGAATACTTTATGCACTGATTTACGTCAGTAATGCCACAGGAAATAGTTTGAAAAGACTTTTTAGAAAATTCCTCTGAGAATCTCTGTCGCACTTGCGTTTGTGTATGGAATTTTGTTTTTATAACACAGGAGGCAAACAAACATGCGGTTCACCTAATGGTAAGAGACTACCGCCGCCCATGATCACTTACAACACCAACGGCATTGCAGGTCCGAACAATTCTTTAGAACACTCCCCATGATAATTTTGGTAGAAAATGCACAGAGATACAACATCTCTACGCAGTTTCAGTGTGTCTAACTGGACAGTAAGGCACTGATCATCAATAATTCGAGCCGCCCGACTTTGAATGCGGTCTAACGGGAGAAGCTGATACAGCGCTCCTGCCCATAGGTGAGAACAGTATTCCCGTATGTGGCCTAACTTGAGCTTTATAAAATTTCAAGCGATGTTCCGGCATGAAACACCGTATCATTCTATTGAGCACTCCTAACTTTTTAAAGGCCATCTTAGCCTTTTCCTCCAGATAACCGAAAAACTGGACGTCGCTGAATATATCAACACCAAGGACCCCTAGACCCGACTTATTATCAAGGAAGTGTCCTGAAAATAAAGAGATATGATAAACGACGTCTTTTTTGCGGTGACTATGTAAATAAATAATATGCGAGTATAAAATATCATAACACCATTGTCATCAGGAACAGCATCACAGAAGCTGGGAACGTCGCAGTCACAGAACTGTTCATGTCCGTAGGTTGCTAGTTGACATTTTTTATGCAATTCAGAATTAAACACAAGCTGATAGCCTGATGGAAAGTAGCATCCATCGCCTATAGACATTAACACTGTCATGGGCGTAACATAGATGTGTCGCCAATACCCTTCATGCTCTGCCATTTCTGAGGATTAAAATGTTACGCCTCTGAACCCTTTAATGGTGTCATGTGTGCAATGAGAGCTTTACAATAATACTCATACCAGAAAAGAAAAAAAGAAAAATCGCAGCTGCACCGCAGCGTTTCCAAAGAAGTCTGCAAGTCCACTAATAACAAAAGTTATTTTGTACATTTCCGCCGGGGTCTCCGCTTGATATGATTCTGACATATCTCTTTGATTATTTTCGCTCCCATTAATCTCGCTGTATAACGAATAGGATTGGTGGGCTGTTATCTTGAGTATTTTGTGACCATTTCTATTTTAGTGAAAGGTGGACGTATTTATGTCTTTATAATATTTTTTTTTCTAGTTCGGAATAGTGAAAGATTAGAGTAAGGGGTGCTTTTAGCATATTTTTTGTACTATTATTTTTCTATTTTATTTTCAAGGAACTTAATAAACTTGCAGTTATTTCTATTAATATTAGGCTATTTGTTACTAACTACATAGATAATTGTTATCTATAAATAAATACAATTCTAAAATTCAATGAGGGATAAATTCTCATTTTCTCTGTATTTTATACAAGCGATTCGCCCTGACTTCGCACGAGTAAGTAGACAAAAAAATAAACTAGTAGTTCATGTAGCTTTAGCAGGCAAAATTTTGATATTTTGAATTACATTACTGTAATTTTCGTAGGGATCCCTAATTTTTTTTTGTAAATAATGACAATACTCCCTGATAATGTAGTTTTCTACAGATGAAAGAATTTTCAAAATCGGTTGAGGAGTTTTTGAGTTATACAAACAAAGATATAAAAAATCAAATCTTTCCTCTTCATCAATCGATTTTAAAAAGAAGGAGGCACTCCTTTCGATCAATTGTAAATGATTTGGAGTATTCTTTATTTATAAAAATATATATATTTACAGACAATTCACATAGAAATTTTAACAAAATCCGTTAAGTAGTATTGTTTTTAAATTAAAACAACTGATTCTGCTATTATAATCATCTGCTCTCGATTATTTGGTTTGGTTTATTGTGGAAACTTTACTGATTTATGTTATGGTTGTGTATACTACTTTATACATCTCAGGTATTGTATGTTTCCCTTTTAAAGTATTATAAAATATATATATATATATATATATATAATATATATATAAAAAAAAGTCTATTTTTTTGTGTAACAAAAAAAATGGGTTTTGTTCCATTAAATAATTAATTGTTATTGTTATTAAGTTGGTACCTCATACTTATAATATATACAATATACTTACATTTAGTTATTTTTTTTTAATAAAAATATTTTTTATGTTATAACAAAAAATCTACGCTTAACAATTTTAAGTCATGCTGAATCGTCTATTTTATTTTTTTATTTTATTCATTTAAAGCAAAAAGACAGCTGCAACAATACATATAAAAAATGCAAATTTAAACAATAAATTAACAGCCACTAATGTTTACATAAATGTAAAAGACGTAAGTATTGGGGTATAACCTAAAATCTAAATCCGACCCACATTATTGCACCAAAAGCCACATTCCCCTATAAAACAGGCTCGTAACAAAAGCAAATATAACAAATCTATCCTCTTTTAACCTTACATGTACTGAAACTTTGAATTTTGTTAGTATAAGCACATAAAAGAAGAATCTATTTTATGACTACTGCAATCGAGACGGCCCCAAAAGTAACTGTCTACTAACTTAGTCTAATACTATTATATATTTCAATCTAGCTTTTCCCCTATCTAAGCCTAAAGTTTTATCGTTTTATTAGTAGTATCTAAGCCTAATTTTATTATTTACGCGAAGAATTCCTTTGCTTTGTCTTGGACATTAAGGACTGTTTGTGAATTTTTTTTTTGTGTACTGTACTATAAAAGGTAACACGGAATCCTTATAGGATCACTATGTTGTCCGTTTATCTGTCTATTAGTTTTTTTTTTTTAAACAACTTAAAATGGCAAACAAGCTGACGGCCCACCTGATGGAAAGTGGTAACCGTCGCTTATAAACATGTGCACTATCAAGGACATAACAGAGTATACTATTTCGCCCATGAT